GGGGCGCGCCCGGGATCTGAACCCGGGCCGCCAGCATCAGAGCGCGTGCACTTAACCGCTAAGCCACAGAGCCGGCCCCTTGGCTGAAAGTTTTTGTCCTTCAGAATTTTGAATATATCGTTCCACTCTCTCCTAGCCTGTAAAGTTTCTGTTGAGAAATCGGCTGAGAGCCTGATAGGAAATCTTTGTACGTTATTTTTTTTTGTCTAGCTACCCTTAATATTTTTCCTTTGTCGTTGACTTTTGCCAGCTTTACTACTATGTGCCTTGGAGAGGGTCTTTTCCTGTTGATATATTTAGGAGATCTATTTATTTCATTCACTGGTATTTCCAGCTCCTTCCCCAGGTTTGGGAACTTCTCAGCTATTATTTATTTGAACAAGTTCTCTGCTCCTTTTTCCCTCTCTTCTCTGTCTGGAATACCTATAATCCTTATGTTGGATTTCCTAATTGAGTTGGATATTTCTCAGAGAGTTTCTTCATTTCTTTTTAGTCTTAGTTCTCTTTCCTCCTCCATCTGGAGCATTTCTGCATTGCTTTCCTCAATATTGCTAATTCTTTCCTTGATATTGTCAGCCCTGATGCTTAAGGCTTCCAAATTTGTCTTTATCTAGAGTACTTTTTAAACAATGCTTTATGTTAAATAGGTTTTGCAGATTTGGGAAAATAAAGACTATGGATCAGCTCGGAGTATTGTTCGCATTATTGGAAAAATTCTTCCTCTAGAACCTTGTCCCAGGCCTAATTTTGAGGTAAGTCAGTCAACATGCATTGTTTAAGCATCATGTGTAAAATAATCCTGGGTGCTTCTAGGGGTGTAGGGTTGAACAAAAGAAGAAATGTTTCCTGAAAGCCCAAAGCCATTAGTCTGTCCCTGGAAACAAGTCATTTCACATGTGTTTTATGTTTATTTCTGTATATAGTTACACTCAAGATGGGCAGGTGCAGAGCAACACTTGAGTAGCTTATCTTTTCTTCTAGCTTGTGTTTTGTGACAGATGACATTAACCGGGGAGAGAATATTGCTTTGTGTTTAGACTGTAGAATAACATTTTCCTCCGTATTTTTTCTCGCTAATAGGTGCATGTTTTTCTATTGAATATCCTTTTCCATTCCACTTTTGGATTTTTAGCTTATTGAATTTCCACGGGCATGTCTCTCCCACTCCCTGCAGAGCAATGACTGTTTTTCCTTTTCCCTTTAGTTGATCCCAGTCTTGAACTCTGTAGACTCTGCTAACTATGGATCTGTAGTTCCATCTTTTGCTGATATTTTGTGTGTGGCAAACGATGAAGAGGCCAGTTATCTCAGATTTCGGTAATTTTATATACTTATCTTGGAAGTGGGGTACGGGCTATAATCTGAATTCTTGCATGTGTTGGAGTTTGTTCAGACTAATTGAGCCTTTTTGTTTTGTCTCTGTACTGAGCTGTGTCCTACTAATATCTCCCTAATAAGGATAACTAGTTGTTTCTCATTTTTAGCCAGTTTTTTTTTTTTTTTTTTTTGGTGAGGAAGATTGGCCCTGAGCTAATATCTGCCAATCTTCCTGTTTTTGCTGAGGAAGACTGGCCCTGGGCTAACATCCATGCCCATCTTCCTCCACTTTATATGGGACACCGCCACAGCATGGCTTGACAAGCGGTGCGTCGGTGTGTGCCCGGGATCCGAACTGGCGGACCCCGGGCCGTCACAGCGGAGCGCGCGCACCTAACTGCTTGCACCACTGAGCCGGGCCCATCCAGTTTTTTTTTAAGGTGCATTTAAACCTAACAGGAGGCCTAGGAAGAAATGATATTAAAAGGATATCAGAATCACAGTGTTCATTTTTAGGAGAAAGCTGTTTCCTATACTAGATACGAGATTCATTTTACTTTATATATTTAGCCAAAACTTACATTGTTCTTATTGTACACCAAGCAATGATGTTAAATATATTTGAAAATCTGGATGTGTTAGCCCTGTGGAGTAGTATCTTGTCTGTTAGTATATTCAGGTACAGGCTATAAGCACATAGGGTCAATCATTTAAATATCCTGCCTAAATTTATTATGGTCAATAATAAATTTTGACTGGTCAATTTTCAAAATGTTAGAATACCATAAAATTACCCCTAACATAATACCCTTCAGAACATAAGGCCCTTCAGAACCATATATTCAGAATATGTAGAATTTCTAAATAAACCATCTTTATTTCTAAGTAAATAAACTTGTACTGTGTTTAAAGCTAATAGGCAGAAGAGTTACAGGATGATTGTTTTTGTTTTACCATCTAAAAGCAAGGTTTGTTTCTTCATCCACTGACCACTCACTGGTCACCTGTTAAGGGCTGCCTTCTCTTCTCTCCGTTGAGAACACAAGTCACAGAGGAAGTTGTGTTTGTCCTCGCTGAGGCTGGAGACAGTCATGGGGTCAGGAGAGCAGCTCTGATTTTGTTGTGGTGTCTTTATTCTTTGACTGAAAGAATTTATTCCTCTTGGAAAATTTCCCTCCCTCCTTCTCTCTCTCTTTCTCTCTGTTTCTTCCTTCCTCCACCCTCAGAAATAGTATATGGAAAAATGAAGAAGAGGAAGAAGTTGAATACCCTTTGCAACTAATTTGGGATCCGTTGTCACCTGCTCTAAGACATAACAAACCAATGAAAAATGATCGGCCTGTAAGTGAAGCTGCAATTAAAAAAATAGTTGCCCTGGAAGATGAGCTGGCCTTTCTCCGCTCTCAGATTGCTGCAATTGTGGGAATGCAGGAACTGGAAAACAGCACAGGTTCTGGTGGGTAACATACCGGGCTGTGGTTTCAGTTAGAGGGCACTCATCTAGTGTGTGAGTCAGTACAATTCTGAGTAAGAGTGTCTGAGGCTAACAGATCTTGTGAATGCCATTAGAGATAAAAGATGTTGGGTATATAAGATTATATCTGATGTTTATTTAAAACAAATTAGGACACATTTATAGTGAGGCGGATGGCTTTGGTTTAAAGAAGAGCTAGCTATACTGCTGAAGATTGTACTTTTCTATTACAAAGCCTTGTTTTATAAGTATGCTTTTCTAACTTTTCATATAAGCATTGAAAATTTAAGAGGAGGAATGCATTAATTTGAAAGAAGAGTATAGGTTTGAGGCTTCATATTTTTGTAGTTTGAAGTTATTTCTGCTATAATTCCACCAAGTTAATGAATGTTTTCCAGGTGATCCTTTTCTAAATTTTTAGAGACATAACTTGCTTTCACCAACACACACACACATACATAATATATATGTGCATTTATACACATCTGTATACACGCATATATAATTTATATAAAATGCATAATATTTATATAGTATTAGGTATTTATAATGTGATTTGTATATAACTCTTATATAATGTGTAATAATTAAAATGAGATATAAATACACATACTTTTTTTAGCAGTCGTGTTTCACACAACTTTTTATAAGCAAATCTGTTGTGAAAAAGTTAAGTACTCAGTCCTCATCTTAGGCTCCTGCTTAGAGAGTATATGCTTGGGTGTTTCTAGCATGTCATCAGAGTGAATGTGCCAGTTTGAGTGTTTCTAACTACAAGTTGTTGATCATGTTTTAGCTTTTTTACATAGAGGATGAAATTCAGATTGTATGTGAATTACTGAAAAAACACTTATTATTTTCTCTTTAAAATGCATTCTCTTCCTTGCCCCCTATAAGGGCCTACACAGAGAATCCTAATTGGATTAAAAATAAATTTACTATTTGGCTTGACTCTTACAGAAATTACTAAGTAGATGGGATTGCTTCTTCTTCCTCGCCACATATCATTATCTTAGTAGCGTTACAGAAATTGTTCCTGTTTTGGTTCTAATTAGTGTTATGTTGGAGAGAATTTTGCATGATTTTTCAACAGGGTACTTTGTTTTTAGGCGCCTTTGACTTGAATGATGGGCCTAGTGGTTTGGGACAAATGCCATCGTCAGGGACTGCTCAACTCAGTGACCAACGAGATCTGTCTTCAAGATCATTGCTCCCTTCTGCTCCTCCTCCACCACTTCCCCCTCAGCTTCCGTGTTCTCCTGTGCGACCGGGGTCTGATAATATTTGTGACTCAGATAATTCAGCAACTGAAATGAAGAAACAGCACTCGGGTGCTTGTCAGACCAGTTACAGTCGTGGTCCAAAAAACCAGAAAAATAATGATGTTCCAAACATTCTGGATGTTCTAAAGGATATGAATAAGGTTACACTTCGTGCTGTGGAACGGTATGTGGTCATAATTTGAGAAATGGAACAAAATTTCATCAATGATGTTTTAAAAAATTATTATATTTATCAAAGTAGACATACACAAGTCTTTTCTTTTATTCCTCTTCACCCCAAATTCCCCTCCAAGAGAGAATCATTTTCAGTTTTTCTGACTCTTCTGTGTATTATGTCCATATTTTTGAAACAGCATACTTCTGCTATTTCTTGATATTTTAATTATATTTACTTCCCATTGTTAAAGATTAGGAATATGTTCTCTTAAACACTCTACTCCCAACACACACGCATACATACACTTCTTATCACATCTTCCCACTGTAGTTAAATTACAATCTTTAGTTAAGTGAGTATGCACAATTTATCACACCAGTAAACATTTACAGGGAAGCCATTTCATACGCTAGGATTACATTTTGTTTGTTTTTTTATTGGAGTTAATCCTCTCTGAGTTCCATTTGCTTTTGGAAATCCCCCAGGAGCTATCTGTCCTGCCCGTCTCACTGTTGCCCCCAAGCCTGCCACACTGCTGCCATCCAGGGGGTTTCCTTCACCACCGTCGGGGGCATGTCTTACCGTCTCTCCCATTGCACCACCCATTTCCTGGCTCTCGTGTCTTCCTGTAGCTTCCTGAGAAAGGGTGCGTAGAAGGTAGATTATTTTAAGACCTTGCATATCTGAAAATGTTATTATTTTATGCTCACACTTAATTGCTAGTTTGGCTGGAAAAATAATAGGCAGAAAATGATTTTCCTCAGAATTTTGAAGACAATCTTCCATTGATGTCTAGCTTCCAGCGTTCCTTTTGGGCAGTTGATGTCATTCTGACTCCTGGCGCTGTGTGTGAAACCTGCTTCTTCATTCTTGAAGCATTTAAGATCTTGTTGGTCCTGGAGTTCTGAAATTTTGTGATGATGTGCCCTGGAGAGTTCTTTCTTACTTCTCGTCCTGGGCACTGTGGACTCAATCAATCTAGAGTTTTAGGTCCCTCATTTTTGGAAATCTCTTATGAACAGTTCCCTGATTATTTTCTCCTGTTCTTTCCCTCAGTTCTTTTCGTGGAACTCCTGTGAGAAGTTTGAATGCCAAAATTAGTCCTCTTATCTTCATATCTTTCCTTTACCATTTTCTTTCTCTTTGTTTTTTTATTGTACCTTCTAAGAAAATTCTTTAATTTAACTTTCAGCTCTTCTATTGCATTTTCCCCTGCCATCATATCTTCAATTTGTAGGAGGCATTTCTTCTCTGAATGCTCCTTTTTTGTGTCTTCTTGCTTCTGTTTGTCTTATTCCAGTGAAGATATAAACTATAGTTCTGAGTTTTCTCTTGCTCTTGAATTATCTCTGTTTTTCCTGGGTTCCTTTTTTCCTCTAGTTGCTTTTGGTCTCCGTTTTTGGTTTGGAGCCTTACTTAAGTATCTGGTGATTCTTGGCCATACATTCATATTTAAAAGTGAGGCAAGGAAAAGCTGATGAAGGTTCCTTGTGTGAGGTGGGCTTGCTAACTGGTGGGCTTCACAATTGAGTGATTGAGTAGAGGACCTGACCATTTTGTTGGCCAGACCCCATAGGTCAGCAACCTGTGCTTTGTCTTTGTGGCTAGAGATTTTCCTAGAAAGCTCTCCAGTCTCCTTCTTGGTCAGGAGAGACGGAGATTACACAGTGGGTGCAAGCCAGGCATTTCGAGAGTTGAGTAGGGACAGAGCAGGGGAGGAGCATCTCATTCGGTATGTAGACTTGTCCTTAATCTCTCTGTTTTCAGGACAGCAGCTCACCTTCCGCTCGTCACCTTCGTAGCTTCCAACACTTTGCTGCAGCTCTTCTGTTTTCTCCTCTTGTCATCTCTGCCTCTATCCGTATACATCTTTTTCATCTCTTTACTGTCACTTTAGTAGGGTTTCACAGAGATCTGCTGTGTTCACCTGGGAATCCCTCTGAGGGTTTTGGTGAGAAAATAAATATATTTCCTATATAATAGTGTTAGGACAGATAAGTCGTTTCATGATTGCTGAGGTTATGATTTGACACTTGTGTGAGGCAGCTGGTGCAGAGGAAGATCTTCTGGCTGCATGTGCACACTTGGTCCCAACTGGATGGCTTGCTGGCATCAGTGGGCCCAGTCAGTGTAAAGTGGTGACTCTCTTACCATCACTGGAGAAACAACTAAGAGGCCAGCAGGCTCTACCCTCCATCCTCTGTTCTCTCACGTTTCTACAACTAACCTGTGGTATACATTGCTGCGAAATCAGATGCGACTTCCCACAGCTTTACATTTGCAGGTTTCCTGCCCGTGCTCTCTGCCTTCCATCTTGTTACTGCGAGTGAAGTGTTCTTGTTTGTGTGCAGGCTCTCCCCTTGGTCGCTGGTTCCCCTTCTCTCTCATCTTCTCAAAGATTTCACTTAAAATTGTCTCTTCTGTCTTCTGCATCGTCAAATTTTCCTTCTTTACTTTATTCTTCTCCTCACACCTGAGTATTTCCCAGCTTCAAAACATGTATCCCCCAGCTGTTATTGTTCTCTGTTCCCCTTTCTGATATCAATTCTTTATGTTGTCTATAGCTTGTTCCCATTTCTCACTGCCTTCTTCTACCCACTGTAATATGGTGTCTGTCCCCATCACTCCATTGAAAACTGCCCTTGTCAAGGTCACCAGTGACCCCATGGTGCTAAGTCCAGTGGTCAGTTCTCATTGCTCTTACTTGACCTCTTGGCAGCATTTGAGATAGTCCGTGGTTCCCTTCTCCTGGGAACATTTTCTTCACTTGGCTTCATGGAAGTCACACTTGGTTTTCCTCTTATCTCATTGTTCACTCCTTCTTAGTCCTTTGCTTACTCTTCCTTCTGGGCCTGTTCTCTAGATGTTGGCGTGTCCGAGGCTGAGCCCTCAGCCCTCCTCCCTTCTGCATCCACGTTGTTCCTCTGGTGATCTCTAGTCCTGTGGCTTTACATCCACTATACGCGAGTGACTCCCACACTGATAGTTCTGTCCCTGACTCTCTGCTGAGCCCGCTGCCTACTTGACAGAATATCTGCTTGACATCTTTGTGTGCCTGCCTCACAGGTACCTCAAGTGTCATGTGTCCAAACAGCACTCTTCCTTCCTACCTGTTCCCTTCCTCCACCTTGAACACCTGTTCTTCCCCATGTCTTTTGCATCTCAGTAAATGGCAGCACCATCACCCAGTTGCTCAGTCCAAACATGTAGGACTCATCCTTGTTTTTCTTTTCCTTTCTATCCCGTATCCTTTGCATCAGCATATTGCTCAAGTTTGTGTACCCTACTGACCCAGCTGCCACCCCCAGTCTCAGCTGCCATCTTATCTAGCTGGGACTCTGCACCAGCCTCCTTACTGGTCTCTGTTTTCATTCTTGCCTCCTTGTCTTTTCTCCAGGTAGTAACCAGGGTGATCCTTTAGAAACTGAAGTCAGATCATGCTATTTCCTGCCTAAACCCTTTAGTGGGTTCCACTGTGCTTAGAATACAGTGCAGACACCTTGCTGTGGCCCCAAAGTCCCCTGGGATCCAGCCCTCACTTCCTTTGCGGACCTCGTGTCCTAGTCCCGTGTTCTGCACTGCTTCCAGCTGTTTGTCTTTTCTCTCACATGTGCCAGGCTCCTTCCTGAGGCATCTACCGGATGTTTACACTTAGCTGACTCTTTGTCGTTTCCTTGAAGAGGATGTCGTCTCCTTTCTAGGCTTTTCCTTATCACCTCATCTGAGGTGCTTTTGCCTTGGTCCCTATCACATAACCCTGTTTATTTTATTCAAGGCACTTAGTGCTTTCTGCAGTTCCTTGTTCACGGATGATCTCCTGCCACCAGAATGTTCTGTGGGAGCGGGATACTGCCCCACCCTCAAACGTGAAATGGAGCCTGGTATAATAGTAGGCATTAAGTGGAGATTGAACGAACAATTAGCCTAATGGTTTTCTTTTCATGAACTCTGTAGTCCTTTTAAGAGTTCTTAGATGTTTCTTTCAATTTTCCACTGAAAATTTAGAAAATTAAAACTAAAGATCTTCAGCACAGAGATGTTTGATAAATCCCAGGTCGTAAGAAGGCGTCGGTAGAGCTCCAGCCACATGATTGGTTGGTTTTCTGATTCCTCATTTACTGTGCCCTCCAGATTCCTTATTCCATGGTAAAGATTTCAATCTCTTGAAAACAAATTAGATTGTAATATATTATGTTTGTATTTCTGCTATGTTTGTCAACAAGGAGCTTAAATTACACAAAGTTTTAATTTATTCAATTTTTTTTAAAAAATAGGTCACCTGGAGGTAGACCCATTCATAAGAGGAAAAGACAGAGCTCACACTGGGATCCCGTGTCTTTAATATCCCATGCACTTAAGCAGAAATTTGCCTTCCAAGAGGATGATTCCTTTGAGAAAGAAAATAGGTCTTGGGAGGCCTCTCCATTTTCTAGTCCAGAAACCTCAAGGGTGAGCGATAATTAATGTAAAGTCCATTTTTCAGTGTTTCTGTAGTGGAGTAGTCATGATAAATCTTTGCAGTCAAGGTCTCTTGAAGCGATTGTGCAGAATGGGCTGTACAATTGTTGCTGCTGCTAATGTTTCTGTTGTTTTTGTTAGCTTTTACATGCTCAGTTGAGCTTTTTGCCTACTATGAAGTTTTCTGAAATAAAACACTGAATTTGAAAAATGCTTGTACATAAGTTTATAATGGTTTATCCTAGATAGGTGCTAACTTGCTGTTGCTGTCTGTGGTAGGAACTGGGTGTCTGAAACTTGGAGAGGAACAGAGAAGAGCGGTGCGATAGATTCAGCCCACCATAGTTAAATGGGAATACTCTTGTATTTTTCTCAGTCAAATACCAAGATTTTGGATTATTTGTTAAATAGAATATGCTTTTAAAAAAGCAAATGGGATCATAATTGTCTTCAATGACAGTGCTTCTGGGTTGCTTACAAGGACACACATTGTATTCCAAACGCTTGATCCTCAAGACGGCTCCTTACTTGAAGTCACTTTTCTCTAATTTAGAAATGATTCTAATTTTGGGGGCGGTTTTCCCGTCTCATAATTTAGTTGAGGTAGTACCTAAGAATAAGCCGTGGGAAGGAGAGGACTGTGAAGGAGGGACAGCGTCTCAAGTCGGGTGGCTCGTGTTGAGGAGTGGTGGCCGTCGGCAGAGGAGGAGACAGAAACATTGAAGGGCAACTCAAAGAGCATACCAGAGTGGGAAAATGGTCCTCTCACGATCCAGGCCGTGTGGCCTCTGAGTTACCCTGTCTGCCCCCGCGCAATATCCAGTGTTTATCATGTTGACTCAGAAAATTATATTCTTAACTCTAAGAAGACAAAAAAGTATGTAGTTTACTTTAGAACTATTACAATCAAAAAACATAAATGTGGGCCGGCCCCGTGGCTTAGCGGTTAAGTGCACGCGCTCCGCTGCTGGCGGCCCGGGTTCGGATCCCGGGCGCGCACCGACGCACCGCTTCTCCGGCCATGCTGAGGCCGCGTCCCACATACAGCAACTAGAAGGATGTGCAGCTATGACATACAACTATCTACTGGGGCTTTGGGGCAAAAAATAAATAAATAAAATAAAAGCAAACAGACAAACATAAATGTGCCTAAAAATCAGCGTTTAATATTTGTGTAGAAATTTATACTTTGCAAAGTACTTTTTTACTCATCTAATTTGATCTTCACAGCAATATCCTTAAAAAAAACCCACCCAGGCCAGTGTTACCTGTTTTATACACAAGGAAAATGAGCCTCCCAGGGCTCTGCCCGTAAGACCACATCTAACTGGCAGAGCAGTGACTAGAACTTGGTTTATTAAAATTCTGGGATGTTTGAAAACCTTCAGTTACTGAAGAAATTCACTTGGGTGGAACACACTGTTTCTCAATGATAGTGGGTAAATGAGGTGTGCTGGGGTGTCTTATACTGTTCACCGGTCTTCGCATTTTCTCTCCAACCAACTTTGAGCATCTTAGAGAAAGAACCAAATCTTTCTGTGAATTTTCTAGCACTAGCTTAGGGCTGGACACGCAGAGGCTCAGCTGTGGTCCCCTGGGGGGAGCTCAGTCCATGCGGCCGAGACGGTCTCGCTTGCTCTTGTGTCCTCAGCGCACAGTGCCTGCATGTAGCCCACTCAACTGTTCGTTGTTGTAGGAATTCAGCCCTGAGGGTCACTGGGGGCTGGTGTGCCATTCTGTTTTTACATTAGAATAATCTCTCTGTTGAACTTTTGCTTTATTTCAGTTTGGACATCACATTTTGCAGTCAGAAGGACAGTGAACTAAAGGAAGACCTGACAGACACGAAAGATGCTGACCAAGGTGTGCACACTGCGAGCTGTGCCTGCACGCACAAGGCAAGTGCAGAAACACGCTGGCAGCTCTTTCACAGCCTGTTAGGGGAGCGCATCTCCTATTAGTGTGGTTACATGAAGCCTCTGCATGGGGATGTGCTAGGGCAGAGGTCTGACGGGTCCTGACTCCTGACACCTGTCTCTGGTCTGGGAAGATCCAGCGTTTACCTGGGTACTGGGGATAGTTAGGGGCATGGACTTTTTTCATGCATGTTAACGTTATTAAAAGCTGAAGACACACTTCGAATGGTTTTCCTGAGAGCTGAATAGAAATGACTTAATGTTTCTCATTAGAGAACAGTAGGATCTCACTATTGCTGAGAAAAACCATTTTAATGGATTTTAATGGATTAAGAAAGTAATGTACACTAGGTTTGTGTTGTAGTACTCAGCAAATGATAGTGTATTTGGGTTTTTAAAAACAATTTCTTAAAGCAGTTATATGACTTCTTAATTTAAGAGCCTTTGAATCTTTTAAACATTGGTAGTGATCTGGTTGAGTTGGCCTCCAGGAACTTGGAGATTTTCAAAGAATATAAAACTATTTTTTTTTTTCTTTAGGATAGTTGTAGTTTGAATCATGTAGATTGAGCCTCCTAAACAGTCTTCCTGAGGTGACAAAGAACTATTCTTAGAAACTGATTTTGATTGTTAAATTCTAGGAGTAGAAGTATTTAAGGAATCTTCTTGATGAGTTTTGCCTATACTTTTGTGTAAATATTATGCCCATAATTTTATTTCCTTTGTTTCTTATGACATTTATACTCTGTATCTTTGTAAATAAATGTGCCTTTTGAATTGGGTTGTATTTTGTATTAATTCAAGTTCATGTTTCTCCTTACTACTTCATTCACAAAGTCGCAGCGTTTTTTTTGAAAGAGTTCTGCAGGTAGTTTCTTGGGTAATACCACTGAAAGACACGTGAGTGTGAAGCTGGTGTTGGGTCCCTCTGCCCCTGTGCTAATGTGGTGTGGAGATTTACGAGTTCCCCTGGACTCAGCCTGTAGACCAGCCGGGGAGCTGAGGGTCCATTTGGTGGACTCAGCTGCCCATCTTGCCAGACTCTTCCCCTTTCAGAGAAACCAGTTGGCCCAGTTTTCTTGCTGTGTTAGGGACTTGGTTGCCTGGCCCATCTCCATTTCCAACCCCGTTCTTCTTGGCCGTCTTTCGGTTAGGCGTGCAGCAGCATCTAATGACCATGAGGAACAGGATTTGGATCAGAGATGTGAACCCTGACATCGCTGAGCTGTTGAGCCTACACCAGCAAGAGCCATCTGCAGCCTTCTTGTTATATGAGAAATAAAGGAGGAAAATAGGCCTGTGGGTTTTCTGTTACTTGCAGCTAAAAACACTCAGACTGGACACCTGCCTGTCACTCCTATGTGGGTTCCTGATGCTTCTTATCCTGTCTTCAGTTGCTTCTTCTTGCTGCTGTTCCTGCCTCTCCTGTACATTCCCCTCCCCCTGCCCCCTCTCCTCTCCCACAGTCCTTGTAATTAGAGGTTTTTCCTCTGAAATAACTGCTTTTTAACCCCCAAGGTAGTCTTGCATTTTCAGTTTTATTGTTTTCTTATTAAAAAATATATGATGAACAAACCCTCCCCAACCACCAGGGGAGAACTTTGGAAGGCACCCTCCTCTGCCTTCTTGACAAACCTCAAGTTGAGTTTTGGGGGGCTTTGTTCTGCCTCTGAGAGCATGTCCTGCCTCCCTGAAGCACATTTCAGCACCATGAGATGTTGGGATTGAGCTGAGCTTGGGCTCACCTCCATTAGAAGGACGACTTCTTGTGTCCAGGGAGACACAATGACCACATGACCTGAATTCCCCCTCAGGAGTCCTCCTGAAAGGCCTGAGCCAGGCTCCTGGGGCCTGCTGTGTTTACTAGAGCTGAAGGTCAGAGGTTCAGTGTAGGCCTTTGTCATGAACCTATACGTACGTGATCTAATACCGAATGTTATTTATAAAATCACATTGGATGACATCTTAAACTTGTCTAAACATGCTGTGAATGCTGAAACTTTCTCTTTTTGCAAGTTACATAAATGCCAGCTTCTTTTCCTGGCCCTAAAACATTAATGCTCCCCTTTGCCCTGGGAAGGCCCCTCCCTTCTCCTCCTTCCTCAGATGCCTTAAACTAGGTCACATTCCCCTTCCTAGTTGGCTGTTAGTTAATCCCTATAAACTAATCAAGGTATTTGAGCAGGGGCATTTGACAAAGCGTTCTAATACTATTTTATATTTGGAGAAAATTGGTTTTATAATATGGACTGCAGCAAGTGAATGCTGTTCAAAATCTTGACTGGTTGAGATGCGCAGATGATGACAGCTGTGGTTGTCATGGCAGCGAGGGGACATGGACTTCCTGGGATCGTGCCTCGGAATCCGAGGGCCCTGTTGAAGAGCGGCAGGGGACTGTTATGAAGGGTATCAGAAGGCCTTGATGTACAAGGAGAACGTGCTGTATTGTGCTTTAATTATGAAACATAGCAATTAGGTTGGAGGAGAAGCAGCCATTTATGTGGTAGCAATGGGGAAAGAGGATTTTAAATAGGTTTTGCTGGATATTAAGTACGAGCTCTCCTTAGATTAGAGAGGTTAAGTGCGCAATTGGATTTGTTTTAAATTGAAACAAAAACAAAAACCAAAAATGGATCGGGGGAATGAAACGTGAGAGTTTTACGTAAGTCAGAAAAGGGCTGTTGCAGGTGGGGTTCTCTGGGGAGCAGACCCAGAGACCGAGGTGCAGGAAGTCTATGGGTGGACAATTGACTCAGGACAATACCATGCGAGGGAGGGAAGCAGGACGGTGAGGGGGTTGCTGGGCTGTGATGCAGTCTCAGCAGGGGCCTCAGCGGGCCCCACTGGGAGCTTTGAAGTGGGGCGCCCTTCCGAGTCGCCTCCCACTGCTCTGAGGGGACTGGGTCTTGTCTTTACACTTCCCCGTGGACCAAACCCTGGGGAAAGGCATAGCCTTGGGCAAGACAGTCTTCTTCAGCCAAGGGCAGTTCCCACAGAGGTTTGTCAGTTCTAAAGACGTCACAGTGGTTCACAGTCCGTCAAAGAGGGCCGGGTTCCAGACCCGTGCAGAGCCCAGCCCGCCTTACACTGCAGTCAGCTTGAGTAGTAGAGTCGTCCAGAATCCCCAGTACCCATTGCCCTGTCCTCCCTCCACCAGTCTAGTGGTAGACTTATTTTCTTGAAAAGATTTGCATTTTAAAAATGGTGGGTGGGGAGGGGTAGGAAAGCCTTTCTGTCTCCAAAGATCCACCCTCTTCCATCCCCCAGGTCTCTGTGTGGGACACCTGGGGCTGGTCTTTTTCTTCGTGGAGATTACTTACGTTTACAGGACTCAGAAGCATTAAGCAGTGATCACATCGGGTGGCTTTGGGGACCGATGAAGAAGTGCTGGAAACGTGCCAGGAGGACTGAGTTATCACCTCTCCAGGCCCCAAGCTCCTCGGCTGTAAAATGAGACCAAGCAGACTGCGCCCCGAGGTCCAATGCATAGCACTCACATTCTGTGACTTACCTGCTCAGCTGAACAGAGGCGCAGCTCGGCTTGGTGCAGTTTCAGTTTCTGTACTTTGTGCCAAATACTCTTACCAAGGAAATGGGGTCTTGGGCTGGACACAGTGGGGAAGGGCTGGTGGGTCCCTGAGAACTTCTGTGACGCTGCCCTTGGGGGTGGGCTGTAATTTATCTTCCAGGTGACAGCAGTGGCTCTCGTTGTTAATGGCACTTATCATGTGTCAGCTCCTGTTCTTACTGCCTTCCACATATTGACCCATGGAATCCTCACAACGGCACTAGTGCACTGTTTTCCTCGTGTCACAGATGAGGGGCCAGGTGCAGACAGCCTGAGGAGCCCTCCCAGGTCTCCACAGCTGGTTGGTGGCAGAGCTGGGGTTTGAACCCAGGCAGTGGGTTTTCAAACACATATTTTTAACCTCTAGGCAACCTTGCCTATCTTATAAATTTGTTTACTCATCTGTTTGGACTTTGCCTTATTCCAGAAAGTATTTTAGGCAGTTTACAGGGATACGTAAAGCACCACAGAATAAGAAACTGAAAGAAATCCCCTTGGGCTGCAGTTTTCCATGTTGGCCACAAGAGAGCAGTGTGGCATTGGGGAGCGCCCAGGCTGATGCTGAACTGCTGACCGGTTAGCGTGCTGGGACACCAAATCTGTAGAAGTTAGAGACAAAGTGGAGTTAGATTTAGTGTTACTTACAAAAGCAGCTTATTTTAAAGGATATTCCTGAGTTACAAGTGACCATGTCCTTGATAGATCTGAGATTAGTCATGTCATCAGGCTAATTCATCTCTTTCCCCAACAAATGATAAGTATTCTGTAAAATTCAAGGATAAAATCAAGAGATAGTATTGCCTGATTGTTAAAGATTGCAGTGAGATTCTCATAGGTTTTTCAGTTTGAGGACAGCTATTTATTTCACTCCTAGAGAAAGGCACAAGGTTTATTATGAATGATAGGATCATGGTTTTTGCTTTTCTCCCAGTGAAGATTGCTATATTAAAGTGGTGGATTTTTTGTTAGGTATTCTATAACTTATTCATGGAGATATGTGTTTCCAAAGACACCGTAATTGCTTAAAAGGCCGTCCTCCCCGCTGTGGTAGCCTGGCGTCTCCCTGCAGTTGGGATAAGCCACGTGGAAAGCTAATCCGGAGACGGTGTTAGCGACTTCAGACCCATCTGCGGGGTGTTTAACTGTGGTGTGGCACAGGAGGGTCCCCGAGTGGGACGCACTCTCTGTCCCCCGGGGTTTCAGCCTTTGACTGGGTTTCTACCTGGACCCGCACTAAGGACCCTTGAGTTCAGCCCTCAGGGTCAGATTTTCAGCCCTGTCCTCGACAGCTGGTAGCTGGGGCCTGGGCTGTGTCTGCTCTTGCCAAGCCTTCTTCCCTGGAAACCAGACCGTGTTTTCTGCCCTCCGTGGTCCTGCTGCCTATGGTCAACAGCGACAATCAATCACAG